ACGCAGGCTCTGCCCTCAGCCCTTCACCCCTAGAGGAAATAATCAATGAGCCATGGAGAGGGAGCAAAGAGCATGTCCCCACACGCATGAACCCACACCCCAGACGCAGTACCTGACGCAGCGCTGGCTGAGCTGCCGGAAGCAATTACATCGTCCAACATTAGATCTAAAAGAACGAAACACGACATTGGTCATTGACCGGACCAGGTGCGCTGGGCAGGGCCCCTCAGCGGCTCGCTCCCCCTCAGCTCCAACCCTCACTCTGCCTACAAATAGGGTATGCCGAGCACTAGCAATTGGTTCTGAATGCCCAACCCCAGACTTGGGCACCTGAAGAAGACAAGTGTTTCAGCCAACTCTCTAGGGTCACAGGGGTGGGAAGGTACTGGAAGGGGGCAGGGAGACTCATCAGAACAGACGTCCAATCCTACCCTGCTGTGGTCTCAGCTGCACCTGAACAGCTACAGACCCCAGAAGCAGAGCCAGATGGTCAGGCAGGGGCCACAGGGCCTTCTGCCAAAAAATCCATCTGCAGATGCCTTGTGGAGGCAGCTCACTGCAAGGGGTGTGCGGTGGGTGGGGCAGAAGTGGGAATGTGGCCCTGGGGACAGGGTACCTGCTCAGCTTTAGAATCTATAGGGAAGCCAAGGCCAGACCCCAACCCAGAGCTGGGAAGAGGGGGGCCTCTGAAGGGTGATGGTGTATGTGAGAGATGGGTAGCTCATGGCTACCTGGGCGCCAGAGTCCCCATCCACATCCTCCTGGAGCAAGTCTGGCCTCATCCAACTCTTATCCTTGTCTGCAACTCCGTACTCTCCCCTATCTCCAAGCACCTGCCCCAGGCAGCGGAAGATGCAGCTGAGAGCACAAGGGGGCAGAGGCACTGAGCCCCTCACTCATTTGGTGGTACTCACATTTCCACACACCAAAGGGAAACTCAGAGCGCGGCACACATCTGATCGGCGGAAGGCAGACAGTTTGTGAGCGGGTGGAGAAGAGGGAAACCCACAGACCAAACAGGGAGAGACACAGGGAGACACACAAAGGCTTTGAAACCCACACACAGAGACACGTGGAAGGATGTGGGCTGTGACTGAAAGAGACATGGAGATGACAGAGCACCAGACAAACAGGAGCCCCGAATGGGAGCCAGGTGCACACGCACCTGCACACAGGCCGCCAGAAACAAAGCAGCTATGAAGCTGCTTTCCTTCCTTCCCAACTCTGTGTCTTTCTCATGTGTCTCAGCCTGTCCGTGGCAAAGCATGACGGTGAGAGGCGTGAAGCCTCACCCATCCTGTGCAAGGGATGCTGGAGAAACAAGCGAGGGCCTGGAGGGGGTCTTGGGCCAAAGAGTGGTTCTTTAGCTTTCCTGTGAGCTTAAACCTTTACAGAGATAAGAGAAGACTTTTTTCCTGCCCTTTCCTTTTCTCCTTCTCACCCTTCCTTTCTTTGTTTGGCTTTTTGAGACAGGGTCTCACTGTTTAGCCCAAGCTGGCCTCACACTCACTATGTAGCCCCGACTAGCTTTGAACCTAGGATCCTTCTGTTTCTGCTTCCTGAATGCTTTCTCTGGTCATAAGACTTGGACTACCACACCGGCTTTTCTTGCCTTTCTTCTCTGGCAAGAAAACCACTAACCATCAAGGAGCCAGGTAGTTTTGTTGGAAAAAGGGAAAGGGCCACAGTTCTGAAGTTCATTCTCAACCACCCACTCTTTCCAGGCTCAGCGGAAGCCCTGGCTGAGCAGCTACAGAGAAAATACAGAGGTTAGAATACTTGCTGGGCAAGCCTGTGTTGATCTGAGTTGGCACCTAGGCTAATCCTTCAGTCACTGGACACCAATACAGGGAGGTGTAATGTCAGGTCGGGTGGATGTCCCTCCTCTGAGAGACAACTGAGATGCTGAGTGTCAGTTTCTACCTGGCATCCTCTGGGGAGTATAAGGCTGAGACCGAGGAAGCCTCCTGGGGGGACAGCACCTTCCCCCCATGGAGCTGACCTGGTCTGCTTCATGCAGGCTCTAAAGGCAGACATGCTGTTGAGGACAGGAGATGAGGGGGGACCAGGAGCACTTCTCCCAGCCCCCAGCCCCAGCTCCCAACCCCCTGCAGTCGCAAGGCCAAGGTCAAGCATGACCCAGAGAGAGGTGGAAAGGCTACCGACCGGCCATCTGCTTCTCCTTACTCCTTCTCTTTTTCTCCAGCCTCCGTAGCCGCTTCTCCTCCCGGCGCCGGGCTTCCTCCTCCTCCTGGTGCTGCCGGCACTTGTGGAAGTTCTCCACCACCACTCCCACAAACATGTTCAGGACAAAGAAAGCCACGATGAGCAGGAACGAGATGAAGTACAGCAGCATCCAGGGGTTGTGGTTCATGATGGGCTGGTGAGGGGCGGGAAGACCGTGTGGTCACATCAGCCTCCTGGGAAGCCAGCTCAGGTGATGCCCACCTTGGGGGCTGGACTTGCACAGAGTTAAATAGCTCCAGGGGTCTGGCGAGTGACTGGCTGGCATGCGTTGGCATCAGGCAAGAATAGCTATTCTCTATCTAGTAGCCGTTTCTTTGTTCCGGCTTGACCCTGCCCCCGGGGGGGAATGGGAGCCCAGTGTTCTCTGACCTTCAGACTTTTCATGCCAAATTTACCAATGTCTAACTGTCCATCACTTGAAAAAAATTCAACTTATTGTAGGCCCACAGATGCAACCCTGCTGGGTGCTGCCGCGTGTTCTTCTGACCCATGCTTGCCTGGTTACTCTCAGCAACCAGCCCAGGCTGAAGATGACCTGAACCCAGAAATGGTCCTTCTCATGCCCACCTTACCTGCTGGTCCACACCCACAGCATCCAGCCCATCATACATGATGTCAACCCAGCCATCCTTGGAGGCCAGCACAAACAGGGACATCAGAGCCTGGGGTCGGGGGGGGGGGAGGTAGGAGAAGAAATAACAGACTGTTTGAAACTGTTTGAAATGTGTGACCGAACTACCCACCACATGCCATCAAAGCACCTCCTGGCAACATCTTGGGGTTTCTACTCCAAATCCCAGGAGAACCCTCTGTCCCAGGGCCCCCAATGGTTGTTCAAAAGCTATGAGAGAAAACTAAGTCTCTGGCCTTATCTAGGATGGTAGGCGCCTAAGACCCTAGGAGGCTAGAAACCAAAACAAATCAGCAAATCAGCAAGAATCAGCCACTTCATTTTTCTTTTTTTCTTTTCTTTTTTCTTTCTTTCTTTTTTTTTTTTTTTTTGCAGTAATAGGGATCGAACCCATGTTCCCATAAGTGGCAGGCAAGCACACCACCCCAGACTACCCCAGTCTGGCTACTTCACTGTCTGTATGTGTCTGTTCCTACAAATGGAGAGGAAAACATGGAAAACATGAACCCTGATCACCTAAGAAAATACCCATTTCATAATTATACACTTAGAAACCCCAAGGAAACAGTAGCACAAACTATTCTCCAGATGAGAAATTGGAGGTCCCCGAAGGTCAGCTGCCCAAAGTCACTGAGCTGACAAAGATGGTAGCAGGATTCATATTAAAAAAAAAAAATCTCCTCTCAACCTCACATGTGTTCTGTGCCTAGCCTTCTCCCTACCTTCTCTGAGCCTCCATCCCTTCATCTTTGGAGTGCTACAGGTCTTTGGGGTCTGTTCACGGGGGTGTGCAGGTATACTAGCTCTGGGACACAGTGGCAGTGAGCCAGCTGAAGGCCAATCTCTGTGGTTGCCCACTCCAGCTGACTTGGTAGACATTACTCAGGATGGATAGATGTCCACCCCTCCACCCCCTACCCCCCATCCAGGTTCCTCTCCATCCCAAACCTGTCACTCACCTGGCCCAGGTTGTCAAAGTTGTACTTGTGCCGGACCCATCGGTAACTGGCCTCAGCACAATCAGATTTGTTGGTGATGTTCCTGGTGTCCTCTCCCTGACACACGAAAAACTTCCCTTTGAAGAGCTAGACACACATGTGGGAGACAGGGAGTGAGCCTGGGGCTCCCAAACCTACAGTAGTAGCTCTGAGTCCAGGGGTGTAGTATATCCTGGGTGATGGGGCTGTTCACCTCTGGGGTCAGTCAGAAACCCTGACAGGAAGCTTCCTTATAGGTACCCTCTTCCTGTTTCCAGTGGAAGGACAAAGAGGAAGGAGGGAGTTAGCCGTTTCCCTTCTACTAAGAGCATGGCCAATGGTGCTCTGAGTGGGAGTGGGGGGGTGGAGTCCAATGATCCTTTAGCCCACCAAGACTTACTGGACCAGCTGTGCTAGGGTGGGATCCACAATCTTTTAACAAGAAGCCCGAGTGATTCTGACAGATGCACCAGTTTGGGGGCCACACTGAGCTAGGGCATTTAATTCTCATAGTAACGATGAGGTGCATAGATTATGAGCCCCACTTTGAAGAGAGAAAAACTAAGGCCCGGAGACCTTCATTCACTCACTAAGACCTTAGCTGGCAGAAAAGGTCTTCAAAGATTTGGGTCTGTCTAGAAAGTTTACTCTTGCTCCAGGATACCCAGGCCATGCCTGCAGGGGTGGCGGGGAAGGGATTTGAAGGCCAGGAGGATGGGGGCCTGAGGGAACCATTTAGGGCAAATATAAACCCATGGGATTGGTTTCAACAATGGCTCACTCCCAAGCCAAGGGAAGTGGGAAAGGGGTAGACACCAGACCACATGCAGACCGGGGGGTGGGGCAGAGGCTCTGGTAAATGTAGCCTGGTCCTTGGGGCTGGAGAATTTCTAGGAAACCAAGGAACAGTCCCTCCCCAGGGCATAGTGGGCATTCTAGAGGAAGGAGGGGATAGTAGTAGCAGCCACCCAGGAGTTCCCATACTGCCCGACAGCCAGCTGTCTACCCTGCGGCTCCAGTGAGGACACTACAAGACAAAGACTCAAGATGGGCCCAGGGGCTCCCCGGCCCCCTGGGGTGTCCGCTGAACCCAGCAGGCTGCTATGGCTCTTTTTCCTCCAGAGCCAAGTTCCTTCTCTGGGCCAGAAGCCAGGTTTTTCAGGCAGCCCCTACTTCCTGCCTTGTCTAGGGTCTAAACCCGCCTGCCTGCCTGCCAGCACTCCGTTAACCTGGCCCAGCTGTCTGGGCCCTGGATTCCCGGGCCTGGCGCTCAGCCCACCCTGCTCAGAGAAGCAAAGAAGGGAGGAGATCCCGGAGCAGACCAAATGTGTAATCAAGACACAGAGGGTAGGGACAACAGGCTACAGTTACCCATGGGCCTGAAGCCTCAGTGAAACTGGGTCCTTTTGAGCAGGGTCCCCCTAAGGGTTCCCAGTTTCCTGTAAAACTCCCGCCAGGCAAAGGGGCCTGAAGCCTAGGCCCCAGAGGGAAGGGGTGTTCATTTCCATTTGGAACAATGGCAGCAGTAGCATGACCAGGGCCAAGAGAAGAGGAGGGACTCCTCAGGCTTTTTCAGACAGACTCCCCAGACCACCCACCCCTGCACACCTGCACCCCAAGAATGCCAAAAATGATGAAGAAGGCACAGCAGATGACCACAATGTTGCCAATGGGCTTGAGAGAGGACATCAGTGTCTCTACCACCAGCTTCAGCCCCTGGGCCCGGCTGATGACCCTGGAGAGCAGAGGGAGGGGCTGTGAATACTCAAACACTCCCGTAGCCTTTGGACCCTGTCCCTCCACTCTGCCCTCCCAGCACGCTATGTGAAAGTTCCCTTTTCACGGAGCTCCCCCCCCGAGGACTTCCCCCTCCTGCAGTCTCCAAACAGGCACCCGAAGCTCCCACATCTCCAAGCTACCAAGTGTATTTCCTCATCAGGCTGGGAGTGGAGAGGGCTCAACTCGAGGGAGGCATTACCCAGGGATGCAGTGTGATGAGGTGGGGGTGATGACAACCAGGAGACAGTAGTAGGGGCATGCAGGGAAGGGGAGACGATCACCACAGACAGGGAAATACCACGATAGTTTTGGTATCAACCCCAGTCAGGAGAAACTCTGAGTTAGGATGTTGGGGCTGCCTGACTAGGGAAGGCAGACTCCCTGCTAAGAGCAGTGTTAGCAGGGGTGATCCCTGAGGGCTGCAGAAGGTGAAGAAAGACAGTTGGAGGATCCGTGTCACTCACAGGGAGGACGAGGATATCACCCTGAGGGGACTCTAAGGGCCCTATGAGCCTTTCTACTGTGCTCCCACTAGAGTGAGTCCCAGCAGAGCCAGAACAGAAGAGTGTGCCACACCGGAAAGGAGTGTACAGAACTGACAGTGGCTGTGTACCTTGGAGGGAAATGACCAGAACAGTGACTTGAGTGTCGTCCGGAGTGGAACAAAGAATAGCCAGGCAATAGCCAGGAGGCAGAGTGCACAAGGGATTTGGTTCCCTTGTGGGGGTATTGGTTATTAAAGGTGGCAGCGGGGGAAGGGGTGTTGTCACCTGAGTGGACGTAGGGTCCGCAGCAGTCTCAGCACCCTCAACATGCCAAGGATCTTGGTGCCACTGTCGGAGACCATGGATACCAGGATGTCGATGACAGAGATGAGCACCAGCAAGCCATCCAACACATTCCAGCTGCTTCGAAGGTAGGCTTGTTCCCCAAAGCACCAGCCCAGAGCCACCACCTGGGGACCACCACCACATCCATCATTGGCACTGGCCACTCTCCCTGCAATCCCCAACCCTGCCCTCCACTCTGGCCAACCTTCCTATCCCCTACTAGTTCCATTATCCCCATGCCCCCCTGGAAGTCAGAGGGCAGGACTGCCTCTCCCCCACTTACCTTCACGGTCATTTCAGCCAGAAAGACTGCAGTGAAGATATAATTGGAGAGCGTTAGGAAGATTCGTTCCTGCAGGAGAGAGAAGGCAGGAACCACCTATTAGGAGGCACATTCGTGGGCCATATCCACTCTGCATGAAGAAGTCAAAACAGCTCCAGATATTTGATACTGAAAGAGCTGTCCCCCTCCAGTCTGACTTGCAACTCTGGAAAGTTTTGCCCCCACCCTGAACAGACAAACCTCTGCTGTGTGCTGTAGAGGAGACAGGCTGCTATCTGAATCCCCAGTTCCTTGATTTCTTTCTTGAAACTGGAGCAGGATTGAACTTGATCTCCAGCCCTGCCTGCCATTCTACCAGCTCACTTGCTTTCCTGCTGTGAGCCCCAGAAATGGTGCAGTGGCAGGCAGGCTCAGGAGCCTGGGTACAGACTGTGCCACCCTGGGTACCACATTTATGCCGGGCATTGGTGACCCAGTGCCCTGGTATTCATGGGCTGAGGTCATCCCTTATGGCTGAGAGAGGGGAGCTTGAGGGGTGGCCAGCAGTATTGAGTGTGTGTGTGTGCGTGTGTGCGTGCGCACGTGCACGCACAACAGAGGACAGAGTGACAAAGTTGGAGATAGAGAAACTGAGTGGGAAGGTAGAGACTGTGTCATGCTGTATGGGGTCTTGGGTGGACAGCAGACAGGCATAGGGGTGCACCATCCTGGGAAGGGGGTCCCCAGTGCTGGCACTCTCTCACCCACCCACCTAGTCCTGGTGGGCAGGCTCCTCCAATTCTCGGGCTTTCTCCACCCTCTCCTGGCCTGGCTAGGGCCCACCCTAATGGAAAACAAGCCCCCACAGCACTGACAGCAAGGGGGGGTGAGGTTGACCGCTGGCCACCTTTAAGCCAAGAGGGGAAATGGGCCACCTCTGTCAGCCTTCTAGAACCTGAACTGCTGCCAGCGGGAAGGACTCTGATGCCAGGCTGGGGGAGACAGCTTCCAGAGCTGGTTGGGCCCGTCCAAAGAACTGAGGCTCTTGGGAAGGATGTCTAGTTACTCAGGCTTCTGTTGCTCTTTGGTGCAAGCAGAAGTGATCAACGTGCTCCTACCCTTCTAAGGCCCCCCCAAAGCCTAGTTGTTTGTGACTTGGTAGGACCTCAAGGAACAAAGAGTAGCTCCTCCATCCGTATCCCGCTCTGCATCACCCTTAGGATGGGGCGTGTGTGAGATGTCCCCCAACAATGTACCAGTCACTGTGACACTAAGACTCCTGGCCAGGCACAGGGAAAGCAGTACTGCTCTGCCCACACAGGATCAATCTTATGTGTCACCTTGTCTCAGGACAGGGCTCAGAAGAACAATGGGAT